TGGCCATCTTGGCGATGAAGAATAAATATAGCACAAAATTTACTTACACATTTTGAAGACAATGTTATATAATACTTAGCAACTTTGTCTATGAAGCAAAGTTTATTTTTGTGAAATTTTCCACTTGTGGAATCATTACTAAAAATGTTTCAGATGTTGGAGCATTTCAAGCATTAGGATTAGGAATGAGCAACATGTACAAACACACATAATCATTTCATTGCATTCTGAACTTTTGCAAAACTTGGTAAATGTCAAGAAAAGGCAAAAATAGGTTTCATTACATCTAAACAAGTTATTTAACCTTTGACTTTCATTTTCTTCATGTTCAAGAAAGGATTGTACTAGATAAGCCGTAAGGTTCGTACAATACTGCAATGTCTACTGCTTAGTTCTACTTTCATCTTGAACAAAACGTAAGTTGTCTTCCTTGGCAATTTCAGTCTCTTTGGACAGTGACAGGACAACCAAGATTGAGTTACTCAGCTCTCATTAGGTTAAAATATATATGTCACATTTTATGGGAACCTACATGAGTTTCTAAACAAGTGATGCACAGCACTCTGGAATACTTTGCAAAGGTTACTGTTCTATAAACACATTGATCTCTGGATTTCCAGTCTTAAACCAGTCAGAAAGGGGTCTGGAGCAGCTAATATACTCAGGACAGGTTATCCACTCACTTTACTCTGCCATATTATCACTTCCTAAGTGTGCTGTGTCATGTAAAAGGTTTCATTGTCTATGACATATTAAGAGAATATTAAATACTCTTTAGTTCTTAAGTTTTTCTTTATAAAGACACTGACTACCATGAAATCATGTATGTGTATTGGCCTTTGCCCAATAGAAAGATATTGTTAACAACAAGTAGAAGCTATTCATTTAATGTTTTAATTGATGAAGGTCCTTCCTGGAGAATTGCAAGGGCCTATTTATTTATCTATTACCTCCCACGAGAACAGAGGAATTTACATTTATCACTACAATATTCCCAGTTTCTAGCATGGTGCCTCTACCAGGATGTTACTGAGAAAATTTACACTGAACCAATGACCTGTTGCATGAATGAATGAATATGTGCAAAACCATTTATTTTCAAACAGTATCATTTATAGTTAATGACAAACATTTGAAATTAGACAGTTGTAGCAAGTCCAAACTGACATGCTTTATCTTATCAACACTAAATTATCAACTGAGGAAGCTGTTAAATAGGTGCATATTGCATCTTAAGGTTTTTTATTTTTTATTTATTGCATGTGTTTCCACTGTTGTTTTACTATAAGTTAGATAATTATTCCATTTAGAAATTGAATAAAGAGGGGATGGAGAGATGGTTCATCAGTTAAGAGTGGTGGCTGCTCTTGTAGAGGACCCAGGTTGAATTCCCAGCACCTATATGGCAGTTAACAACCATCCTTAACTCCAGTTATGAGGAATTTGAAACTCTCTTCTGACCTTCACAGGCATTGCATGACATGTGCGCTTACATATATGTAGGCTATATACTCATACACATACAAAAATTAAAAAGTAATTGGATAAAGGAAAAGTAGATCATATTGGAAAGAGGAAAGGTATGATGAGGAGTGGAGGGTGGACAAGAGAGGGTAACAGGTGTATATGACCAAATATATAATCTACATGTATAGAAATGTCATAATGGAACCAATTTTGTCAATTAATATATAACAAAAATGAAAATGATAAAAAATGAAACAGAAAATAAGCTAAAGGGACTACAACTTTTATGAAAACAAGTGCTCAGGCAGTATTAAATGTCCTTCATTATATAGAGAAAATATTTCATCTCTCATTTCTAAAATGTTAATAAAAATTATTCAGTGTTCTACCCTGGTGTCTGTCTTTCATTCGTCTTGTATCAGGATATTGCTAAGATGCCTAGATGTCTTCTGTCTGGATTACAGATTGGCAGGGAATGATAGTCCTTAGAGGCCAGCCACAACATATTCCATACAATCTTGGAATCCCAAAAGAGAAGGTGATCATATTATTATCATGGAGTAGGGTTTTTTTTTTAAAGTAGAACTAAGTAGAAAAGAAACAAGTTTAAAGATTGTATATTTGAAAAGGGCCACAAAGAGTGTGGTAAAAACACATATTTTCAGTATAAAACATTAGAAATAATATATGAGACACATTAAAGTTTGGATACATCCCAAAATAAACTCTGGACAACTGTACCGTCCTCTTTATATTGTTATGCTGTAGCCAAAGAAACTCCAAGTCCTGCACAGCTAAGTAGGGTATACATAAACTTCAAAGGATGCAGAGCAATTTGCCTAAATATTTACTATAAAACGGAAACATTTTCCTAATACTTGAAAACACCTTCCAGGATTTTCTTTGGAAGTTTGTATAAGAATCAAGGGTCAATAACACATGTCCAAGGATTAGGGGCTCCACCTTACCGTTCTAGCTTCTAATATGGGCCCTTTACAGTATTCCAAAGGCCAGTATCTAAAATGAAAACTACAAAGTGCTATGGAATTTTTGTCCAAGACTCAATTCACCTTTTTCATAAATAAGGATAAGGTGGGATTGGAGAGAAGACTCAGTGGTTAAGAACACTGATTGGTCTTGCAAAGGACCTGGGTTAAGTTCCCAGCACCCACAAGGCAGCTAACATTTGGTCATAATTCCAGTTCCAGGGATATGTGACACTGTCTTCTGACCTCCGTGGCACTGCATGCAAGGAGGCACTTACATACATGCAGACAGTACACTCATACACATAAAAATAAAAATAATAAAATGAATGTACAAAAAATAGGGATAAGGTATAATTTATACAGTAGCTCTAAGGACTGAGCTTATCCCATTGAGAGACCATAGACCGTGTTTTTAGTATAATAAAACAAAAGGCACGTTGAATTGATGTAAAAATAAAATCCTGGTGTCCACTAACTAATTAATGGATAATGAAAATGAGTTGCATAGATACAGTGTAAAACTTACCATAAAATATGTGTAACTAACTAATGGATAATGAAAATGTGTTGCATAGATACAGTGTAATACTTTCCATAAAATATATGAAATAAAATACTGTCATTTGTGATAACATAGTTAGAACTGTAGGTTATTTTCTTAATTGAAGTGAGTCAGGCACTGAAATAAAAGTACCACATGTTCTCATTCATATGTGGAATGCTAAAATTTATCTCACAAAAGTTCAGAGCATAGTTGTGCTTACCAGAGACTAGAAAGAATAAGGGAAGGAAAAAGAGGGGATGTTAGTTAATCTCCAGGAATTTATACTTACGTATGAGCAAGAACTTGTGGTGTGCTATAATTTAACAGTAAGTTAACTATAATTAACAATTTATAGTATATTTAAAAATAAAAGAGAAAATTTTTAAAGGTTCTCACTACAAATTAATAAAACTGTCTGATGAGAAAGATATGTTTAACCTGATTCAATTGTTGAACACCTAAATATTATTTCAAGCAACTAATTAAATTTTATACTTTTACATATCAGCTAATATAAATTTAGATCTAATAAATTAAATTTTAGACATTATTATCCAGGCAGAGATTAGAAACTCTTTTGTTCTCAATTTATTGGTCCATTTGGAAAAGGGAGCATTTCCCAAGGAGCAAATTGCTAGAGAAGTTTAAAGATGTAAGGAAAAAGGAAGAAAGAATTTAGCAGAAAGATAAGATCAGATAGCAACATGAATTACTACACAAGGAGGCTGATGACCTGGATTTTACCTCCAGCTGTTAACTCTGGGGTAGGTCAAGTCCCCTTTCCCGCTTATAAAATTGAAGTAAATTCTTTTTACATTTTTTTGGGGGGAGTGGGGGGGTCTGGCTGTTCTTCACCAACCCTGCGTCTTTCAGAAGTGTCCATGATTAAGGATGAATCATTGTATAAAAGCATAGTTATTAAGAAAATGATCTCTCTAGTCCTACTGCCTTGAATGCAAGTCAATCTTCTTTAGCTCTGTAACTTTAAACAGATTATATCTCTCTAAGACACTGTTTTTACTTTATCAAATAAAAAGAAAAGTACACATCACACGGAGTTGTACTGAGATTTAAATGAGATAATGGAGAGAACAATTTTATTACAGAGAATGGCACATAATTAATATTTAATAGAAAGAGGTTTATAATAGCATGAAAAGTCCCACTAAATTATCTATAGTTTTTTATTTATTTTATTTTATGTATATGCGTATACTGCCTGCATGTAGGTAAGTGCACCCATGTCGTGTAATGCCTGCGGAGGTCAGAAAAGTCTGTTGGATCTCCTGGGACTGGAGTTACGGACAGTTGTTAGCTGACATGTGGGTGCTGGGATCAAAACCGGGTCTTCTACAAAAACAACCAGTGTTCTTAACCGCTGAACCATCTCTCCAGCCCGCTTTCTATAGGTTTTTTTTTTGTGAAATAAATATGTTATTTAACATAAGATTGTCTTTGTTAAGGTAAAAGAATGGGAGGTAGTCATAGCTCAGCACATGTTCTTGTTATCCATAAAATCTTTGCATGCTGCTGATGTCCAACTACTCATAACCCTAACTGCATTTGCACAAGCAACACAAAGTCGGTTTGTCTCCTCTGATTTTGCTGCAGTGGCTCACAGGGTGTATCATGGTAACAGTGGTTATGCGATGTAGGTGGTAATACTGATAATGATGGGCTTTCTTTCCTCAGTACATATTTCTACCTCCTTCAACTAATTTATTTTGTGAGTTAAACATTTATCCTTCTTCTTATTTGCTGGGGTGGAGATTTTATTTATTTTTAGAAGTTGGGGAAAGTGGGACTGCTTCTGACATCTACTCAAAATGTAAAAAAAATTAATAATTTATAGAAGTCACAATTCTAAATGATTTCATTATAAATCTGTTTATTCTTCTCACTGAAGTGCTTAATACCAAAAACTTGTAGTAAAATTTCTATATCAAGCATGCTATTGGCTAAGGTTTAAAAATTTTGTCTGATGTTATATACTCAGTTACCTTGTACCACACAACATCGGGTTCATGATCAGACTTCTTAAAATCATCCATATCTGGGCAGGAGATCTCTTTTCTTTTAGTGACTTCAGATTTTTCTAAGTAGCGGATCCTGCTATTGTAGCACAAGCCTGATTCATTCTCTGCAACAGTCAAGGACATTGATACCTTCATGCAATATGTGGAATTTCTGTAGGAACAAAGAAATAAAAATATGTCTTTATTGGGTATTTACAACTTTGTACTCTATATATTTCAAGACTATTGACTTTTCCATTTAAGGACATGCCTGGAAATGAGAAACAACATCAAAACAACATATAACAGCCTTCTACTTCAACCAACAGGATACTGTGAAGCAAAAATGATGATGTGAAAATTCTGATAATGAGATAACTACAGAGCTACAAGCAAAAACCAGAGCAAACTATCAAACTCTAATGCAGTGAGACTTCTTTCTCCTGGAAATAAATAATGCTTCAATGAAACTTTGAGATTGAAAGCTCTGAGAAAGTTTCCAAAACTGTGGTTGTAGCCATTTCTGTTCTTACATTGTGGCCAGTGTTTCAACAATAATCCCAGTGATTGCTGAATTTTACCACTGGCTTCTATACCAACATTTCCTTTTATGAAATACATATAGAAAGCCATATTAATATATAAAGAACACCTGTTGGTATACATAATTTTAAGTACTTACTGAAATGTGCTAGGGGTTGGATTTTGGTTTCCCCAAAAGAAAATATCAAGGTGTGGCCAAATGGAATTAATTCTATCCATCAACACTATCACCATAAGGGAATTTCAACACTGAAATTTATTATCAAGCCACATTAGAAAGAGTGTTCACTGATGAACGCATTATATGAACATATTAAGAATAATAATTCTGCTTTCTTATAACCTTGGATATAGATACCTGGTAAACAATTAGACAAAATGTGAGCTCAAGAAATATATTTGTGACTGAAGAGATGTCTCAGTGATTAAAGTGTTTGTCTCACAAATGTGAAGACCAGAGTTCAGAGGACTCGAGTCTACATCACAGCCAGGTGGGCATGGCAGCTTTCCTGTAATTACAGCCTCAGAAGTTGGAGACAGTGTCTCCCCAAAGACACCTGCCTAGCAAGACTAGCTAGGGCAAACTAACTAGGGCAAGACTAGCTAGGGCAAAACTAGCTAGGGCAAACTAACATGGGCAAACTCTGGGTTTGATTGAGAGACTGTGCCTCAATAAATAAGGCAGGAGAGAGTTTAATCAAAGTTCCGGACATTAACCTCTTGTCTCCACATGTGTGCACTCACACGTGAATGCACACCCTCACATCCATGCATACATACACATGTAAAAACATGCATTCTCACATGCACACTACACACATGAAAAAGAATAGAAAAAGAAAGCTTCAAAACCAATTTGATTAATTTGATTAACTGCAAATAAATAAATATTCTGCCTTCCTTCCTCTGTATACATTCTGTTTCACAAGCAGAACCAGAAGATGTCAAGCACACAAAGGGGAATTGAAATGTATGTGGGAGGAGACCAGAAGCAGCTTGACAAGACTGAGAAAGTCAACTGTTAATCTTGGTAAGAATATTTAACATTATTTTCTGGGGATATTAGGGATACTCACTGATAAATATAAAAAGTATCAAGTGCAGTTTTGCAAAAACAAGTAATTCTAACACCAAGTACTGACAATCCTATAACAGATGGAATTAGCATGCCAACCTCATTTTAAGATGGCCCCAAATGGTTGGGTGCTATGCATACTATTTAATATTTATTTATTGAAATGTCACAATATCCCACACATCATATAAAACACAAGAAAGCAGATGGCTGTGCACAGTAGGTTCACAAGCACAAGAAATCAAAAGGATTCCTAAAAAGGTTTCCAGTGAAGATAATTATTAAAAATACACTCATAACTGGGACTGGACAAATTTCATCTGAAAAGACTGGTTAAGCATCATCTGATAATAACAGTGCTAAAGTATTCCAGTTCTGATGTTTAGATACAGCACCAATATCTTATGTATGGAGTGGCTTTTTCTTTCTTTCTGTTGTGGGTTCCCAGTACCAAAGTGCATAGGTTATGCCCATTGGGGATCAAAAGAAATAAATTCTTGTCAGATGTTAGACACATTTAAAAACATTAGGAGCTTAAATCACTATTAAAATATCTAAAGAATGAAAAGTAAATTTTGACTCAATCAATCAATGAATATGAATATGCTTATGTTAGCTCAATGCTAAATGTCTCTGTCCCCTTGCTTCCTACAAGGCCATATGTGATCTGGCACATTATAAAAATCTCTTCTCTGCTCAGCAAGATAGAGCCACAGTGGCATTTTCTCTGTTCCTTTGACACAACAAGCTTAATAAAACCATAGGCCTTTATAGATGCTGTTTTCTTTGATTATCTAATATGCTTGTATTGTAAACAAAAGCTAATAATAGAAAACTACGCTGTTCTTCATCATTTTATTCTTGGACTCGAAATGAATAGGCACTAGATGGTAAATTAATGTCGGTTTATTAAATGAGTGGGTATTACAAAATATGTATTCAAAAGTCATGCTGTGTCTATGAAATTTTTGTATTAATACCCGTTAATACAACACCTTTGTTCTTTCAGATTATGTATATCACTAGTCAACTATCAAATTCCTTATATAAATATGACCTAGATAATCTTCAGGTATTCTTGGATCACCACTAAAGGAGGATTAGCCATGATTTTTGCATCAGCACATTGGCAAGGAATAGAACACACTGGCTATTTCTGGGAGACATAGTACTAGGTCAGAGGATACAGAGAAAATTAACAGTCACAGAGAAGAAAGACAATAATTCCTGTTGGATATCCAAAATATTCTGAATGCTTCTGGATGTTCTGATTTTGATCACATATGCTTCATGATATTAACTCATGAAAGTGGAAGATATTTACTTATTAAATGTCTTCCCATTATTACCTCCATGAAAAGAGAACTATGCACCAGAATTCTAAATAACAGAATAGACAGAATATTTGATGCTCTAAAAGAAGTTCGCTTTCCAAAATATAATAATTCCTGGTCAAACAATAAGACAGAATAAAGGGCAGATATAATAAAATAGCTTTGCTACAATGCACTAACTTTGAATTAAGGATAGCTAGATTCAGCTAGCAGCTTTGTGACCACAGAGAAGTTATTTAGCCTCTCTGAGTCTCAGTTTCCTTGACTGAAAAACGAGGATAAGATTTATGATGATTTCACTGAGGTAGAAGAAAATGGCTCCTTTTATTAAATAACTGTGAACAAAACTAGGCTTACATTTTTAAATGGAATGATTATAATACCTGGCTGCTCCAGACAGTTTTGTTAAACAAAGTAATGTATATAAAACATCCAACAGTTTTTGTCACATATTAGGAAATCAATAAGTTTTAGCCATAACTGGAATTATTAATGTAGCTTGCATTGATATGTACATTGTTAGTAAACAAGTTATCATTTATTTGTGATATAATAATCACAAGCAATCACTTATATTTACAAATGGCACACTGGGTACTATGTGTTAGGATAAGCCACTACTTTAGGAGTGCTACTTGACAGGAAAGGGTCTGAAATAGTTGATTTGGTAACAGGTCTAATACCAGAGGATGAGCCAGGTCCGAAAGGATCAAAAAGATGTGCTGATTTAGATACAAAAAAAAAATGAGTGACCCAAAAGAAAAAGGTGAAGGCAAGAAGAAACTTCCAAGTTCTATAAAGTACTAGCTATGAGACAAAGGTCAGAACCTTGAAGGTCAAAGGGTTAATAAAGTTTCACTAAATTATCTGGGAGCTTCTTAGATAAGTATTTTCTATAATAAAACCCAGACCTCTAGGCATGTTTTTTCAGGGAGAAGAGATGCTCTTGTGTGTTCATTTCCTAACCTCTCCAACTTTCAAATGATTTAGATCCTGCCAGCAGCACTTGTATTAACTTGGGGTGACAATAGGGGCAGGGGACTGACCCTGGCGATGGCTGATGGTTTGCAGGAGAAAGTGTTTCAATCCTCCCTAACCCTTAAACCACAAACAACCTTGGGCCAGGACCCTGCATGTACTCACTCTGGCTTTGTTCACTGGAATGTGAACAGCAGCTGACAAATTGCTTGTTAACCCATGAACAAACCCTAATATGAAGCTGTTGACGACAACCAAGTTCCCTAAAACTCAAAGACAAGGCCAAGTTTGAATCCTGTTGTCCTTCTGGCTGACCTAGGAAAGGTGTGATCAAGGTTCCCTGACAATCTGAGATTCTAGTTAATTTTTTATTACTCATGTAATCCAACCTTGGCACAGTACCTGCTAACAATCTTGCATTATTTAGATTTTATTTTGAAAAATGCCCCAGGCCAGTTCTATTTAAAATGTTTCCTGCACATAGGACTAAAAATGTTACTTTTCTTTCATTAGGTACAATTAAAGCTATGCAAAGTTGAGGAGGCAGACTGATGAGCATGCAAGAATGATTACCGCAAACCCACCCTTCCCAAGACAAGGAATATATTCTGGCTTAAGTTAAGCAAAGAACCTTGACAGTGAAATTTCACCAATGGCTTACAATTGCTTGCTTCTGTAATTTTTCTGATTAGAGTTCTCTTTTGGTATCCATAAGGGATTGACTCCAGGATAACGTCCCCTAAATCTGAAGCAAAACTTTTCAGAAGTTTGTTTTTACTATATAAATTGGGATTACACTTGCATATAACCCATGTATATTCTCCTTGATACTTCAAATCACCTCTAAATAACTTGTACCTAGTAAAATGTGAATGATACATAGTTGTTATACTATATTGTCTAGGGAATAATAAGCTTGTACATGTTCAGTACAGGTACAATTATTGTATTTCTATGACTACTTGAGCCATGATCATTTGTGTCTATAGATATAGAATCCCAAAATACAGAAAGTTGAGTGTATTTTCAAATCTTTTAACATGAATAATTTTATCAATATATGGGAAAATAAGCAGGTAGGGTGAGTATTAATTAACAAGAGTAAAATGTAGAGAACTGGAGGTCGTTCAGTAGCCAAGAATACTTGCTTCTCTTTAGAGGACCCAGGTTCAATTTCCAACATCCACTTGGTGGCTAACAATCATCCATAGCTCCAGTTTCTGAGGATTAAACACTGTCTTT